AAATAGGATGTAAATGTAATATAAATAATGTATAATATAATTTAATAAAACATATATTATTAGTTGATACTTTTTTAAGGAATGATTGCTGGACCGAGTTTAGATAAAACGGACTTTTTTGTAACCTGTATACGTTTTAGATTACATATCTTTTTTGATTCTAGACTTCTTTTCGTATCTTATTGCTTAGTTTTTGAAAAAAAAAACTTTCTTTTCATGTTTTTTGAGCAGTTAAATTTAGGCATAGAAAACTAAACTAATTTTTTATTTAAGTAAGCATTGTTAGAGAAAATCCCCCAGAACAAAATTATATTTTTAGTTAAATAGTATAGGTAGTATTTTTTTTAAATGGATGCAAGAATCGCCATGCAAAAATAAAGTATTAATTTTAGGAATCACCCCTCATAAAGTTCAACTGAAAACGTTTGTCCTAATTTTTTAAGGCTTGTTTTCATGGTGATAGTAGATACCATCACGAGCAAAAAAAACTAGGAAAATTTTTAGGTTGACAAAAAATATTGCATGGAAATAGACCTTTACTGTCGAACTGGAAAGGCATATTTGTTCTGGTGTTTTTTGCGCGCGATAGTACCTACTCTCACGAAAGAGATCTTACCGATGAGAGTTTAATGGGATTTGTATTTAATAAAATGAAATACATAAATGTATACCTTAACACCGTACACTTTCATGAGAGTACTATCAGCGTCAAATCAAGCCTTTATTTAAAAGGCGGATGTAAGGAATTTTTAAATCGGTTTTTTAATTATATAAGATACCAGTCTCGTTTTTTTTTTTATTTGATTAAGTAAAAATATATAAAACCTGTGTTTCTCAAAATTAAAATATTTTCAGATGCCGATACGAAGGCAAGCACAACACAAACATCGAAAGAATGTGAAAATTCGATAGCTGCTTGCCTGAAAAAAGTTACTTTCATCAAAAAATGACAAAAAAAAACTATCAAATATTAGTTATTCTTTTAGAGTTTAGTTCAAGATATGGTATCTTACTCTATTTTTTAAATACTTTAGGTTAGATTGTTCTATATTTTTGCTATATTATATACCTACAATTTTTTATATCTATAATAGAAAAAAATCAGATGTGTATAAAATGTGTTTTATTAATAGTGTCAGTCGCATCAAAAGCAAATTTAAAGATTAAATATTAATTGGAAAAAACTTATGCATTTCAAACATCGCCTGCTATTCCAGTGACGACTTCACCAACCATACCCAATAGGTTAAATTCTATCACGCGCGAGTACAAAATTCTGGGATAGAATGTTTGTAGTCGTACAACCAATTGAACGACTGGACATCACTTATCCAGTATTTCTCATAGGCTGTTGAAAATAACCTAATAATTAAGTAAGGTCCACTGGTATATCTATATAAGATCCTATATTCTCACAGTAAGGATATACTAACGACGTCTCAACTAGTATAACTGGATATCCCTAGTATGTCCTAACAAACATATCTGATATACTGTGAACGTTCCAATTAGTAACATCGTATATTCTTGAGACGTCTTAAGAATGACCCTTAGCTGAAACAGCATATCCCTAGGATATACGCTATGTCCCGCCAGATATCCCGAGGATGTTTTACGGACGTCCTTGTGCTATTTGGGAATTAGCTTAATAATTTAGTGTTACCCCAAAGAGTTTAATTTGTTGTCCCAAACAGGCCAAGAAAATTGCTAATTTTTCAAAGGAACTTCCACAAGCTAACACTATTTTTCAAATATTTTGGATTCCTCCTGTGTCGGTTGTTTATAAATCAAACTTGCTGACGTTTCGCCAATCATCCTGGCAGTTTTAGTTTTGCTCTGAAGAAGCAACAGAATGATGCAAAAGATTCGTAAATAGTAAGAAAATTGCTGTCATTCAAGACTGCAAAGGCATAATAATAGATTTACGACATTTTTTTTACTTTGACGTTCAAAAATATCTATTATAAAATTCAAAATATATGTTATAATAAAAAACACCATAGTCGGTTGGGGACGATAAAAAACTCGATTTTTATAATTTAATCTGGTGATAGATAACGCACCTAACGCAGATACTACATAACATCCTTACTACGACACTTCCATTTAATGTGCAGACTACTAAGCTACCAAGGTGTTAATATGGCTTTATTAGTTATAAAAATCGTTAAAAGTTTTAGGTCATTTTGCAATGAAGTCTACGCGATATTGTAAAAAGTGAGAAAAAAAACTACTTGAAGCAAAGTATGCCACATCACAAATATTGAAAAACTCGGAACCTCAAAACAAGGAATGATATCTCTAAAATGTGACCGTTCAACGAAACAACGCCTTTACTGTCGTTTGTCTATATTTGAAGTGGTCCTAAAAAGATTTTCATTTGTTAATTGATTATACCGTGTTTAAAGTGTGGATTGATCCGCAACTACCTATACTTTCAAAAACCTTAGCGATTACAGAGATTTTTGTTGTTTAATATTTGGCATTGTGGGAATGATCACCATCCTGAATATTTTACTCCGAGTGCATTTTTAAGATGATGGAAAGAGGGAAGAGGTTTAGAAACGCCCATATTTTAAAACGAAAATTTGTTTTCTATGGGTGGCGTATTAAAAATTTTCCAATTCTACGCGTACGAGAAAGAGCATAAGATAGAAAGGAAGGCCCCCCTTAGTGGCAATGTTAAAAAGCAGTTCAGGTTCGGTGTTCAGATAGAGAGGTTAGTGCTCTTATATCTCTCTCTCCCACTAACACTCCCTATTTTACCGGTGAGTTATATTAACTAACTAATCAGCATACAAATTACAATCCATTAAAGAGAATTGTCCAAATGGACGTCTTTGGGGGGGATATCACCCCCCAACAAATTAAAAGAATTATAGGAGATGGCTCTCAAATTAATGAACTAGTTGAAAAGAAAATTATTTTGTATGAAAACGAAGATGCTGGCCCCTTCATAGTCTATATTGAATCCGCGGAGAAATCTGATCGTAATATAGGTAGATTTAACAATCTTAAAATAGCAAGAGAAATTTTTAACCTTCATCTTAAGGACGTTAAAAAAATTCACAACAAAGGTAAAAACCGTATAGCGATAGAGTTTTTTAGATATGAAGCAGCCAACAATCTCCTAAAAAACCAACATATTTTAGACAAAGGTTTTAAGGTCTTCATTCCATTTAATTTTGTCACAAGTAAAGGTATTGTAAGGAACGTAGATATAGATGAAGATATCGAAAAAAAAATTGAAAATATATGCAAATCTTCAGCAAAGATAATTACAGCCAAAAGACTTAATCGTAAAATAATTGTAGATAACAAGACTCAGTATAAACCAACCGGTACTGTCTTATTCACATTTCGAGGGGTTCTTCTACCAAAGCACATTTACTTTTATGACCTTCCCCTTCCGGTAAACGTTTATATCCCCCCTGTCACTCAATGCTATAAATGCCTACTCTACGAACATACCAGGAAAAATTGCAAAAGGGAAAAATGTTTTAATTGTGCAGACAATCCACATGAAGAAACCGACGATAGCTCATACCTCCCCACTCAATACTCGTGTACCCAGAAATGTCATTTTTGCAGAAATGAACACAGAACTACTTCGAAAAGCTGCCCCGAATTCAAACGACAGCAAAACATTAAACGGATTATGACGTACGAAAACTTAACCTTCTATGATGCCAACAAACTATGCGCTAAAACCTACAATAATAATAATGAAGTATTTTAAACGAATTCCCTACTTTAAGAAATAATACGGTTAACAAGAATGAGAATTACCCATACAGGAACACTATATCCTCTTCCCAAAGACGGCTAGCAGACTTCACCAACAAAACTAAGAGAACCTACCAACAAACGGTCTCAGGGGAACTTCACAAAAAAAGACTGATCCACAAAAGCCATGACAGACAGTCCCATGACGACAATATTTACTTTCCTAATTCTAGACCGGAAAGAACACACGCTACAAATTCCCCTATATTTGACGACCCAATCTACAATCAACATTCCAGAACTTCCAAAGAAATTAATGCATCATGTAAAAGACATCCCTCTGAACTTACCCTGGACTTACCCTCGACCAGTACATCTAATTTAAAACGATATGATGATAACCCTACTTATAGATCCATTAAGGAACTAGTCCTAAATTTACCAGGAGAAAAACAACATGAAATTAAAAACTTTATCCTTAACTATATGAACCTAAGTAATTATACGGATCTTGACGACCCTTGTTTTAATTAAATTTTAATATAACTAAATAAAATTCAATTAAAAAAAAAATACTTCAGTTGAACCTAAGAAGTATCAATTCAAACAGAACGGAACTAATCTCATTAATCAGTTGCCCTATAAATGAGATACCCGATCTTGATATCTACAATTCTTTTATAAAGCTGGGCATCAAAGCCCCTCTTAACATATCTGCTGTAATAATTAAACCCAATAAAAAGATTACAGATATCATAATTTCCTTTTTAAACTTTAATAAAATTAAACTGTAACGTTATATCTATCATTAATATTTTCAGAATCCATTATCTCCAACAAATCCAACCTCTATGCCCTCTTCCCCCCATATGTTTGTATTACTAACAGATACCTCCCTTACCGAATAATTTACTCTTTATTGAGCAAAGTAAATAATATAAAACATCTAAGGGTAAAAGTAGATAGGAGTTCCCAGGAGCTCTGCTCGTCAAGCTGAGGACCCCCCCTAATGAGCTGGCAGACTGCCTAGTTGCAAAGCCAAAATATTGACAAGAAGAAGAATGTTAAAAAGCGAGTTTCAATTCAATTTAAAGTTTGAAAGGTAAAATATAAAACAAAATAATTTGTGTCGAAATATATTTTTTTTATTAAAATATAAGGTTCTACTGTAGCTACTGAGTATTTTCAGTACTTTAGTACTTGGACACAAATACTAGATGGCATGCGTAACAGTATACGCGAGCTTCTCCTCTATCTTATGCTCTTTGGGGTACCCCTCATCTATGGTGTGGATTGCTAACCTCAATTCCCAAAATTGTTTACATTCGATTGTTTTGAAAAATGGGTACGCTTTAAGGTATTTTTAAATTTTTTAAAACATTTTTTTGCAGATATCCCTGATAAAATGTTTGGCCCATTAACCTTCCAAGCGAAGGACAAATATAAACCCTCAGACGACTTAGAGACGAAATGTTTACTGTGTGAAGACAGTTTTAATTTAAGCTTGCGCTTGGATATATTCCTAACGCACCTGTTCGACGCGCACCGTTGTGTAATCGAAGACATCTTAAATATAAAAAAGTTGCCACAGTACCTCGCCCACTGGCGCCAAAGGCTCAAAGATAACTGGCTCGAATCGATCGTACCCTCCGTCAAAATAGACGGCGTTGGTAACACGTATTTCCTCTTTTCGGATTTGCTAGCGGAAGACAAGGAAATCCGTTACAAATTGAGGCTTGAGCATGTGCTCGAGGTACAGGAATTCGAACGCACTGACAAAGGTTATGTACGGTCTTGCCTGTTTTGCAACCATACCTTCGAGGGTACGAGGCAGGAATTCGTGGGGCACCTCTCGCGACAACATAACCTTCAGTTGGGCAACGCGCAGAACTTAGTGTTTGTCGAAAAGTTGGTAGATCTGGTCGAGAAAAAATTGCGCTCTCTCCTGTGCGTGTATTGTGAAAAGACGTTCACTGACAGGAACGCGCTGAAAGAGCACATGAGGAAAAAGTTGCACAAAAGGATAAACCCGCGAAACAAGGAATACGATCAGTTTTATGTGGTTAACTATCTAGAGGCGGACAAAAACTGGCGGGCCATTGAAAAACAAAATGATGAATATGTTTCATCTACAGGTGAGTTAAAATAGAAGGTACTGTTTACCTTGTGGGTATTTTTAAATGATGGTATTTTATTTGTTTTATTTATTTATTTACGTCCAAGCATTTAATCCCAAATTTAAAATAATAATAATTAAAATTTGAATGTGGATATGCATACAGACATACCATTGACAATAGGAAGAATAAGATTAGGTAAAACCACAAATTAAGAACAAAAAAATAAAATGGTCAAAGTATGTTTGGTTTTTATTTATCACAGTCATTTATATTTCGAGTATTAACAGGCGGCAGAATTGCATTCACTTTATAGGTAGTGAAGCCCTTTTTTAAAGAAAGTGGAGCTATGAGCTGAAATCCGCATGTCTAGTATATATTTGCATATTTCTATACAGGCTATAGTTGCGTTAAAATTATTGAGGATTTTTTTTAATAAATGAGAAAGAGTACATGTTACGTATGAACTCTGGTATGCACGTTATAAATACTTGTTTTAATCTAGATTTGCGAAAGGGGAGGATCCGCAGAAGAGTATTACGTTAAGTGATTGAGGACTGCAAAATTGCATTATAATAAAGATTTATCGTTTCATGCGCTAGTCTGTCTCTGAACCTCCTAATTATACAGCACTAGTGCTATTTAATTTTGATGTCAATCTCCCAATATCTTCCCAGCTTAGGGTTTGATCTATTTGGATTCCCAAAAAGTTTACTCTTTCAGAAATCTTCTAAAAAGGTCTTTTCTTGGGGGGTCGTATGCAGTTGGTCAAATTGAGAGATATCTTAGGATATGAATACGTCTCTGATTCCAGGTCAGTGAGTTGTGGTGTACCTCAGGGAAGTTTACTCGGTCCTTTATTGTTTATAGTGTTTATAAATGATGTATTTTCATCTTTCCCCCATACTTACTTTTCCCTTTTTGCGGATGATGCAGTTTCGACCCTTTCTGCAGCATCGTCTGAGCAACTTAGCATTGCAACCAAGATAATGGTTGAGCAAATGAAACATTATGCAGAAATTAACAAATTGATATTGAATAAAAGTAAAACTGAGATGATCGCCTTTTCAACACGGGATTTAAATAAGAGTTTATTAGTACGCTTTAATGAAAGCACAATTCAACAGAAAAGTGTTGTAAAATTCCTCGGAGTTTATGTAGATTCGAGACTCTCCTAGTTCGAACAGGTGTACCACATTCTCAGAAAACTTTCTGTTTACTGCTTTGTCATATGGGGGCTCCGCCATCAGGTTTCTTTCAGCTTGATAAAAATGTACTATTTTTCGTATGTTTATTCGTGTCTCAACTACGCCTTGGTTTGTTGGGGAGGTTCCCCACGTGCGGAGCAAGTCTTTAGGATGCAGAAACGTATTTTACGGACTATACTGTTTAAGCCCTGGACTTTTTCATGTTGGAACCTATTATTCCACAACACTCTTTATTCACACTTCCTAGTATGTACATACTAAATTGTGCCACGTATGTAAAAAGTAACTCTAATCTTTATATGCCCTCAAGAAACTCAGATATTCAGTACAGTTTAAGACCGAATGTTAACACAAAAATACCGACACATCGACTGTCTCTTACAGCAAATAGTCCCTTTGTTTTGACAGTAAAAATTTATAATAAATTGCATATCGAACTGAAGGAGATAACTAGTCAAACAAAATTCAAATGCACTCTTAAAGACAAATTGCCACGCCTCGCTTATTACAATATTAAAGATTTTCTTTGTTGTGATACCTTTTAATATGTATTCGTTGTTTGATATTGTTTATATGTTTGTTATTTATCCATCAGTATTACTTATTATTATTAATATCAATTTACTAATTATTCTAAGATAATTTTATACATTTACATTATGCTGACAATATCCAACACTTGTAAATCAAGTCTTATGGAAATAAAGCTATCTTTATCTTTATTTTTACATCAGTATCCTTCGCAGCCCTTCACATATAAGAGTTCGTTACATTTTAGGGCCAACCATACACGTTACCTCTTGGTATATTGAAGTCTCATTGGAGATGAACTTTTCTAGTTCTTCTAAAAGAAACATAAGATCATAAGAGTTTATTCCTCATTACCCTATTATCCTTACCGCGTATTTGTTAAGCATTTGTTGTGCACAAGAATGTCATGTGTGTCAGTATCAAACGCTTTTGATAAGTCGACCCTGTATGCAACATTTTCGTTTTTGTCAACTTCGTCCGAAACATAGAGTACAGTGGTCCATTGAAGATGGTCCTATTCCTTAACTCAATAAGTACGAAAACTGAGGGAAAAAAGTTAAATAAAAAATGTGTTTGACTCTAAGTATATATTTTTTTATATTTTTATATACACAGGGTGTTCCGTTGTGCCAGGAAAGTAACCAACTTAATTTTTTTTTATTTTTAAAAATTCTAATTCGCCTGATTTTGAATATTTTTTGTCATTACATAGCATACGAAATTTTGAGTGGTTTTAATACTTTGACCTATCTATAGCGAAAATATATTACACAGGATGGTCTCAAACTACCATCCAAATATTTTTTCTAATTAAAAAAAAATTGTATTTAGCACTTTTATTGGGTTTGGCATTTAATTCGGGATCATTTCCATTATATACCTTTTATTACAAAAATTGGTAGTTTAGATATTATGTCCAATTTTATGCAATAACTGCTGTATTTTATTTTAAATCTAACTAAACCTATGTAATCCTATTCTATGTTTTTTTTTAAACATTAATTACTTCAATTCAATATAAAATTGACAAGTAAAACAATTATATACAACTTATTACTAATTGTAAAACATTTTCTACATAACCTCCATCTTTTGCAATATACATATATGGTTTCAATGTTCGCAATAGCATTTTAACCGCGTCTGTTGCATTAAGTCTTTTTACCTCTTGCCGAATTCTTATTTTTAACTGTTGGACACCATTACACCCATTTTTATACAATTTACTTTTTATGCAGCCCTCTTAAAAAAAAGGAGGTCAAATGAGCTATCCTCGCTAGCCATTCCATGGCCTGTACCGACCAATCCAAAATGGAAAATGTTGATTTATTCAAAAATAACTTTAACTAAATGAGGGGCATAAACATCGTTTCGGATGACTGATTCCCATATTGGTGACAGGTAAAGACCTGAGTCGCGGTTAAGATTGTTTAGTTGTTTAGATATTTCTATAGATTCTCTGATTTTCTCAAAAAATTTAGTTTAGTCGAATAAGATTTGAAACAGCAGTACTTCGTTTCTCCTGACTGCTGAGCTAATAGAAGTCCCACAATTTTTAAGTCACCACGAATCATCGTTTCTTTATTAGATTAGGAATATCTGTGCCATAAACTAGTGAAGCACTTCAAAATTGCCTATAAATTCTGTCTCGCTCTTCCTGAAATATGATATTTTAAGGTCTGGTGCCAGTTATTTTCTATTTGGAAGTCTAGATGCAAAAATTTCGGAATGATACTTAGATAAATCTAAGTCTCTTACTATGTCATTAAGTTCGGATTGTAAAAATAACTGTGGTTAATGAGAAACATTCCCTATATCACCAAAATAACTAAGGGTATCTTCATCAATTTCAAATTCAGAAAAACTGGTGGTATTTTCTTTTAAATTGGCTGGATTAGAAGTATTGCAACATCTGGGTCATGTGGCACTGGCCTAATTGCAGACTTGAGATTCGGATACACATTGTTTTTCAAATTTTTGGTATTATGTCCACGAACATTGCCGAAATAGAATCAATGGTGATTTGGCTCTCCATATCGTAGGTATTCCAGCAGGTAGGGATCGCCTGGTTCCACTATTCCAATATCTTAAACCTTCTTTATAAAGCTTACAAACAATATGTGGCACCCAAGGTTTGTTTGATCACCAATTTTTACTTTAAAAAGAGCGTAGTATTGTTTTTTAAGCAGGGTGTAATTTTATGTCTAAATTTCTTGATTACAAAAGAACCACACCCATAGCAAAACGTATCTGGACTGTTTTTACTGTGTATTTAAAAAGAAATTTAACCGCACAATGCTCCTGAACCTCACGAAACGACTGTCTACAACAAATGCAATTGCACGATAAACTGACATTCTTGAAGATATGCTGCGACGAGAATGTTTCGACTACATATTTGGAAATCCCAAAAACTATATTTTACTTTCTGGGATTCCCCATTATATTTTGTTAATTTATGCAAAATGTATTCCAGTATCGTAGCATTTTCAATTTTTTTCAAAAGTGTTGCGGGATAGAAACAAAAAAAAACATTGTTTTTCTATTAGTTTAGTTCACTACTAAATCACAAAATCTTTGTTGGTCTGTGTAATAAAAAAACTTTTTAACATTTCAGAGTTTTGGAGGTTTATAAATATCATCGCGAAATCTGGAATTGAATATTATCGCTTTGGCAGTTTTAGAGATAGTTAAGCATTCCGCCGTTTTTTACTAACCCGGTATAATGTAATAACTATACAGTAAAACCTGTCGATAACGGCCTCCAAAATATGAAGCAATAATGGCCGTTATATGAAGGTGGCCGCTATTTTCAGGTCTTGCATCCCACAAATAAAATCATATTTTTTTTTAGATTTGTTCTTTATTTTAACAATCAATAGAGGCAAACTAGATTTTGGTGTTTTGCATTTACATTTACATCAGTATCATCTTTTATCTTCTTATACTCTTCTTATTCTTTTCCCTATTATTAATGGATCTTCTTAGAAGGAAACGGGGACGAGGAATACTCGGATTGGTGCGAGAGCGGGGATAAAATAACGTGCTTGTTTTGCGGCCACGCGGAGAACGACGTAAACTTGTTGTGCCTGCACATGGACTCGGAACACGATTTCGATTTCGTCGCGGTCACGGACCGTCTCGATTTTTATCAAAAGGTGAAACTCGTCAACTACGTAAGGAAACGAGTGCACGACAACAAGTGCCCCCGCTGCGGCGTGTCCCACCCGTCCTTCCCGCTTTTGGAGGCCCACATGGTCCGGGAAGAGCATCACAAGATTCCGGACTTGACGGTTTTCGACCAGCCCGAGTAGGTTTGCTTTATTATGTACAATGTGTCCCATTTTGTCGGGACTGAGGGGTATGTTCGTTGTTAGTGAAGATAGAGCCTTGCGTTTCCCCCAACCGGTGGCACTTTTTTGTCAAACCAAAGATGACGTTAACAAAATTTTCATAACTTGCTTAGTTTTTAAAATACGGAATGATTTTGGAAATTTGACGATAGATTTTTCGTAGAATTCGGTGGTCATTTTTTTTTGTAAATGGTAATGGGATAAGTGGTGGCTGGTTTTGAATGTTAGGAAGGACAACAATGGCAAGTGTGGAGTTGCTTTCGGACTCATTGTCTTTGAAAGATTGAGGTGCATTTTGTGATGAAACACTTAATATATCTAATGTGCAAATTATTAGGGAGAAAAAGAGATGTAATGTATTTTAGCTCTAGGCTCAGTGACTCGGGTTGACAGTGTGACAGTTTCACCGTCCTGCAAAAAAGAATAACATAAAAAACTTACGATGATTTTTGTGCCCGATACTGATGTGGCAATGCATTAAGGTATCGGCCTGTGTGCTTAGGTTTTCTGTAAACAGAGTAACCAAATATTAGGTTTGGGTTGTTAGGAATGTTAGGGTGTGTAAAAATTAATTGGCTAATAAAATCTCGGAGGGATTCTTGACCATGAGGCCAAATAATAAAAGTAGCATTAACATAGTGTTTCTGTAAGTTTGGTTTGAGATGAAAGGTGTCGAAGGCTTTCTTGTCATAAATATAGTCGCGATGACTGGACTGTACGTTTGTTTAAAAATTTCACCATTATAAGAAAAATATGACCCAGATAATTTTTCAATTAAGATGAAAAGGTTTGGTTCCAAATTCTCGGATTTCAATATATCTGCAATACTGAAAATACTAAAACTAACCAGAATATCGTTTGGTTCTAATGTAATGGTTTTTAATTACTCCATGAAATGAAATGTATGAAAAAGTATGAACCTATCAGTTTTTCCTGTAAAGAGTTTCAATATAGAACCTAGATATTATGCTACAGAATATGTTGGGAACCAATAGGTGCTGACAATAGGTCGAATCTTAGGGGATCCGAACACATGACGAATTTACTTTACTTTTACTTTGCGCAGTAAGTTATACATGGTACGCGTTGTGATAGTGATAGTATGTGATATTAAAGATATAAAAAAATAAGAAGTTCCTATAAAAAAACTAGCCTTTTTTTAACTTATTATCTTCAATTTTTCTTTATGTTTTACTTTCGTAGTAAGTTGTTTAGGTTACTCTTTTTCCTAGTATTTAATATAAAATATTAAACAAATAAAAAAGTTCCTATAAAGCAATCTCCACTTTTTGCCGTAATATGTAATTGTTTCATTTTTCTGTTTTTTTTTTACTTGGTGTAGTAAGTTTTGATTAGTTTTGTGTGACCCACTTTTTCTTAGTAATATGGTTTTAATGTTTTAATGTTATATAATATAAGTGTAACTTATTCTTTATTAAACATTCTTGCTTTGGTCCTCCTTTCAGGTTTTACTTTCCCACGTACGAAGACGACGCGTTCCTGTACCACATCGACGACGTCGAGGAGTAGCGTGGCGTGTAGATTTTTATGATATAAAATATTTATTTCACGTCTTGTCATTTTGGTAATTCGGGTAGCCGACAAAGAGAAACGGGGTCCCTCGAAAAAAAATGTATATATATTTCCCCTAAAACGGAAGGAACGAAAACAAAATTAATCAGTAACAAAAGCTCAATAAATTACTTTCAAGATCACAGAGTTAAAGATAACACGGAATTACGATGAGAGTGGTTAAGCGTTAAAGGTAAAATTAACAATCGGAAGCGTTAAAATCGACGCAGTTCGAAGGACCATCCCCAGCGTTGGGAGTAGCCGCGGGGGGAGCAGATTTTTTAGCGCTCCGCGAGAGGCGGTCGAGCTCGGCGGCGGCGTCCGACCGCACCGATGCTTTGTCCGTCAACGAGTCCGCCCCTAAATAAACGAAAAATTAATTAACAATCGCTCCCAGCACACTGTAACCAGATCGTAAAAATTCGGTTATATATAAAAAAATAGTCCTAATTTTCAGAAATTCAAAAAGAAACCTTACAGTTATCTACATAATATACAGTGCCCGCGTAAATGATGTGCTCCTCCAATTTTTTGTTCTATTCACGTTCTAGTGTTCTAGTCGCATACCGATTTTGAAAACATTTAATTTTGCAAGATAGTAAAATGAATGCTTGCAAATGTTCTATTACTTAACCGTTGCTTAAATTTAAATTAAAATTAGATAATTTTATTAAATGTTCGAATTTAGCACCTTGTCCATTTTGACAACAAAAAAGTCTGTCAATAAACTCGTTCCTAACATTATGCAAAGTTTCTGGGGGAATTACACTGCAAACATTTCGAACTCTGTCTTTCAGATCTTCGACTAAATTTGGTTTTGTACGATAAATTTTACTTTTTAGATATCCCCAAAGAAAAAAGTCCTGGGTGTGTGGCGATCGAGCTAAAAAAACATTTTGAAAAACACAAACGAATATGAAAATCTAATGAAAATTATGTTAGAAAAAATATTTAGAAAAACAGTTTACATGGACTTAACGCACTGACAAAACGATTAATTTTGATATTGGCAGGTGAAAGTAACATGACCAGGCACTCTAATGCTACATTCACACGCAACCTTACAATAATTATTATTAAAATGCAGACCTTTGTAAAATACTTAAAATGGCACCCTGCTCATTTTAACATTTTGAAACATTTTTTATGTCAAAAATTAGATACTTTAAGTATATACGCGCATGCCGTGCTATATACAAGGGTACAAAACATAAAAGGGGGGTCCCTTCATTTACGCGGACGCTGTATTTTATATTTAGAAATAGAAGTAGGTACAAAAAGTTGCCCACTACAAGACAAACGAAATACAACTCTGTTTGGAACAAGTCTTCGTCAAATTCTTGGGAGCTTCGTTCGTCGAAGTCTTAATTTCTCCTCATCAAAATCTTTGTCGATTTCTTTTATTTTGTCGACAAATTGTGTTAATCGATTTAAGAAGTCGTAAGGTCTCGGAAAACAGGTTGTCTTTTTTTGTAGGCCGGATTCTTAAAGTCCTCAGGCCAAATCTACTGCCAAATTACCGCAAGTGTTTATTTCCCGATTGGAAAGTCCACGTGGAAGATTATTATGATTTAGTGGCCGTGCATTAAAATTTTATGGAGTGGGAGGTGGCATAGGATACCAGCTGTATAGAAGGACCCAAAATCGCTGCGGAAATTTCATGATTTCCTTCCTTGTTTTGCGCAACAATTAAACCTAAACGTTTTCTGCATGGATCTTGGATTACCGCTTTTTCTCCAGCAATCTATTATTATTATCCAAACTTTGTTTTTTCTTTTATATACTTATATATATACTTTTTATACTAAAAATAATTTATCCAACCGTGTAAAGTCCGCGAGCGAGATGACGAGCATTAATTTCTGTATGATCTGTCATTGTGAAAAACAGTTTATAGAAGGGTTAAAGAGATTTAATTTCGTTCTATATACACCTAGCGAGACATATTTATACGTTCTAGCCAAATGCAGTCTCATTCATAATATAATAGTTGAAATTTTGTGAAATACCTTATGTGAACATTTAAGTGGTCTAAGGGAATTTTAGTTACGCGTTGCGACAACATTGAAGTTGGGTCAACCTTCTGAAGATTTCGGAAGCTAATTTTACCATATGTATAAAACTACACATTCACAAACATTATTTGCTTAAAATTAGACTGAAGTCAAGCGGAGATTTTTTTGTAACTGCTTATTATGATCAAAATTATATTTATATATATTGTGTATATATATATATATATATATATATATATATATATATATATATATATATATATATATATATATATATATATATATATATATATATATATATTTAATATATCTAAGTCTAAATAATGTACATACTTCCAGGATCTCAAATGGTTCCAATCGAGCCACGACACTTCAAAATATTCACAATTTTATAACGACTTTAAAACTCTGAATAGTAACATTGAAAAGGTGGTCACGCGCAGTTGCGCGCTTTATCGCTACGTAGTTATATATATATATATATATATATATATATATATATATATATATATATATATATTTAATATATCTAAGTCTAAATAATGTACATACTTCCAGGATCTCAAATGGTTCCAATCGAGCCACGACACTTCAAAATATTCACAATTTTATAACGACTTTAAAACTCTGAATAGTAACATTGAAAAGGTGGTCACGCGCAGTTGCGCGCTTTATCGCTACGTAGTTTTCGCATTGTAATTTTGTGTTTTGTTTCTGTATTTAGCTCGTCACAAACAGTAAAACAAATATCGAGTTTAGGACTTATTGCCAACTTTTTACAATTTGGTTACAGTGTGGGGAGTTGCGTTTGCGTTTCCTACCGGATTTATTTAGGGACGTGTTGGGCGATCCGGTTTTCTTGTGCAGCAAGGAGTTGAAGAAATTCGCGAGAACGCCCTCTCCGCCTGGAGAACTGACCACCTTGGAGCCGTCCAGCTTCCTCGGCGACGGCTGCAGCCCTACAAAATGGATTTATTCCACGGTAATTCGATTTTTCGCATAGAAACCGAGCAAATATAAAAATCACCCTGTAAGAATATAATAAAATTAAATATTTAAGTTAAAATAAATGACTCCCTATTCATTGCGGGTTTATCTTTTTTAAAATAACAAACGATAAATGCAGAACATTGTTGCCCAAATAGGTCCATACGTTACGGTAATTGCACGTGCACCCCATATATAGACGAAAACGGTAAACTCGAAAATTAAAGCTCTCAAGGACGTTAAAACCCAACGGCGCCGTTCGCCACGGTTTGTTGCTAGGTTAGGGTGGTCAATTGACTAGTCAATTTCGATTAAAATATTTTAAATAACATCTTGCAATTGTTGCATTACTTAATAATAATAGGTATTTTATAATAAATTACTATGCGTTTGTGATGTCCAATTTACCCACAATCCTCTTCAAGGAATATCTCAATAAAAATCGACTCCATTTAGTTCTTAGAACAACGCGACGACTACCTAACGCACAATATAAATAAATAAGCGACACAAAAAAAATTGACCGGTCAATTCCACAACCCTACTCACGCCCGATAATTTACTTCAAAACACTGCAATTTCCAGCTTTTCGCCTATAACCCGAAATTAGAGTGTTTTAACAGGAAAAAACTATTTCTGAACTAGAAAGAGTAAAATCGACTTGATGTCAAGGGCTCGATTATTGAGAAACCGCATGCCGACATCTTCACCACCAACTCTTTTGAAAATTGCCCATCACTTTTTTATTTGCAAAAATTTTCGATTCGGATAAAAACATTAGGGCATTTTTTAAGGCAAATGCAGTGGCGTACTAAGATTTTTTCTATAGTTCTCTGTTTTATCATAAATGAATACAACTTTCTTATTTTATTTGGCAATTATAGTTGGCCATGGTCTCAGAAAAAATGCTTGTGCCGCGCCCATTTCAGATTTGTTGGTATCTGTGATGGAAAAATGCAGAAATATAGGGCATTTTTTGTTTATGTATTAGCAGGTCGTGCATATAGCTGTCAATGTCAGTTAAGGATCTAACTTTAATCCTTTATTGAAGTTTGTATTCTGTCACACAATTTCAGTGGACAAATTTACGCTTTCAGTTCATTTAACAATTTAAGGCAGTCAATGAACTTTATTTTAAAACATATTCAGAGCGGCACCAACCAATAAGCGATTTCAGACGTTTAAGGTAATTTAACCAATTATGGAACTTTCAAAAAGCCAGGGCAAAATCAAAACCACTTACATAAAGAACATGAAATCTGGTAATTTAATATAATTAGAGAAGTATTGGAAAATCCAAAAATATCCACACGGGCACTAGCTGACAAACCAAATGCTCGAAAAAGTTTTGACTACTTTAAAAAAACATAAATTCAAGCCATATTGTACCAGAAAAGTTCACCAATTACATGAAGGCCATGCCGATAGAGGAATACAACTTTGCAACTGGTTTATTAGAAAATGCAATGACATCAATTTTCTATTGTTTATTGTTTGGAGTGATCAAGCGAGAACAGATATTCTTATCGCTTAGGCGCAGAAAATCCTCATGTTTTAAAATCGGTAGCTTGTACCACTTATAAATGCTCAAAGTAGATTTACCATATGCCGTTATCAACATTTGAAGTGTTTTGCAGAACTGTATTCCATTTTTTACACAACAATTTTATGTCAATTCTTTGTTCCATTTTTTTTGACAGCAAAAAATCATCTAGCACACTAAACACGTCTAAGGCTTCTAACGATTATTATTAAAAAAAAAATTCCAAGTCTGTATGAACATAGAAATACTTTTTTTTAAGGAATATATCTTTTCCATTTTCTGGGCTTCGGAATAGTGGAAAATTTATGGCAATTGATTTTTGATTTAAATTTTAAATATTTTTTTGAATATCAAAATTCAAGGTCTTTTCAGAGGCAATATATGTAGGTTTTTGAAAATTTAACTTCTAAAGATAATGTATTACAGATGCGCCTGTACTGAATATGTTATTTTATTATTGGCATTGAATTTTTGTTGTAGAAAATATTCTGCTTGCTTGGTTCTTTTGTTTTTTAACTTAACTGTTTTTGTTCGAATCCATATATCCAAAATACATTTTGGTTAGTTTTGGTCCCGTTTTTATTTTTAAATTCATAAAACCCATCATAATACTAATCGTTATTTTAAGCATTTCTATAGATGTTTTTAGTATATTATGCAACAAGTGCGGTAACCGGCATTTGACTCACGAGTTTATTTAACACGAGGGGAGTGAGTTAAAAAGTTTACCGAACCTGTTGCATACTATACTTTTTCTACGACCGTTAGTTTTAGGGTGCATTTTCGCAAAACAACACCAATACATTCACCGACATGACCATCAGAATTGACAAACGTCAAAATTCAAAGCGTGGGAAATATCTCCGAAAACATCTGATTGCTCCCAAATCCCTGATTGCTCCCAAATCCGTGCGGTAAAATTCCGGAAATGTCCGAAATGGCTCGGATTCGTGGGAAGCAAAACTGACGTGATAAAGTGACACCCGCGCGCTTGATCGGTGTGTAATTAGGAATTTTACAGACGGCAGTTCAAAAAATAAATTCCAATGTAACTGCTTTTGGTTATTTTATATTCTAAACTTTCTAAATGATTTCTATTAAAAATCAGTTTTTATATAATTGATCTTTTAATATTATTTTAAAGTCCCAAAAATGTTTAATTTTATACTTGTAAAGGCAAAAATAATTTTATTTGTTGTCCATAAGTGATTTCGGATAGACCAACATTTTCCAATTTTTTCAGAGTTTTTCAATCTAGAAGAACAAAAAACAAAATTTGACCTGCCTCTTCAATAACCTCAAACTAAACTATACAGAAAGACCCCACAGCACTGTCAAATACATGCAAAAATGGAACCTACCTGACATGGGCATACTTCGAAGAGGAGTATCACCCAACCTAGTAGGACCTGCAGGTAGAGGCCCATAAGACATCTGCTGGTGCCTGGCGAGGAAAGCCTGTTCGTCTTCTGCTAACAATTCAGTTTCCCTGCTCACCGTCTTCCTGGTGACGGGCTGCACGATTATATCCCGATAATAGCTGTCCGCTTTGCAAGTGTGCAAGTTTTCATATAAAATACTGATTTTTTTCAAGTTGTCCCAACCCGAAGGGATGAATACTGCGTCCTTTTCCACAACCAAAGCAGGAGTGTGGAAGGGGAATCCGTAAATGCGATGGGTCAAGTACCTGTTTTAAGAAATTTAAATAAAAATTAGACAGTGCAGAGAAGAACCAACTTACTTGTACAGCAAGTCGCAATTTTTATCTTCCTTGGCACTGGTGTAGAACAGGGCCGCCCCGAACTGAAGGCAAAATTTCCGGATCCACTGCTGCATAAAGTCCAAATGCTCATCCCGGTAATCATGATCTTTCTCCAAAGTCTGTATGTAATCCGTCTTAGTAACAACCACGACTATACTCAGGCCCAAATTGTTGGTTAGGGTGCTTTCCGGAAGCTGCGACGTATCATATTCTTCATCATCTGCGTCTCCCAAGTTCCTGGAACTTCTCTTCATGGGCGAAGCGGGATCGAGTTCATCCCCTACAAAACACAAATTAAAAAAAAATAGCTAACGGGATTGTTACTTGCCCGGCTCAACGTACTCCAACCACTTTCTCACCATCATCTGCCTCCTGTTCTGTCTCATGTCAATGTCAAGTTTTAACTTATCCAAATGATCACCCAATACCGAACCCCAGTGCTGCAATTGTTCCAAAATACCCCACGGAGTGGTCATAGATACCGTTAAAATTACGAGGGTGTCCTGAAAGGTCTCCTCGTTCAAGGCGAACTTTAGCAGATCTGCATGAGCCGGGTCTCCGTCCAAAACCCATACGCTTAGCCTGGTATGATCGTCTCTATAGTCGTCCCGGACGTTTATGTAAGCATATTCCAACCCGGAACCTTTACTAGAGTTCTCTATGCCCTGCAGCTTGGCGACCATGGTCGTTTTACCTGATTCATTATCGCCCAGAACCACGATCTGTTTGTTTGGTGACAATTTTGGATTGCCATGTTTCTGTACCTCGTTTAGTATACTCTGCCATAAATTAAGCTTTTCTTCGTCGTTAGTTATTGGATTTTCTTCAGTTTCTTTAGCGGTCGGAGGCATTTTTGTGTGTGAACTTGCTCTTAAAAATTATTGAATGAATGACAGATTTGACGGAATGCCGAACGGTCAATGTGAGTCATACTTGACCACAGATAAGTAAAGTTACTTTGCGTTCAAGTCGGAGAGGATGGTTCGGTCAGTTCCCATCTCAATACATTTGCCAGATTGTGTGTCGTATCACGTCCCCAAATTTAAATATTTGCTTCATTATTGTTGAGTTCAACTGTAATAAAAATTTACTTTTTCAACGTTTTTAAAAAGCAAGAATTACAGCAATCTACACAAATATCTATAAAGGTTGTTTCAAGGTGGGTAGGCGACGTCAAATTTGACGGAAATATACCGCCCCTTTGGTTTATCATCGTTAAGAGTTTTCTCTGCGTATGCAAATGTGCGCTACCCATGAACACTTTCTACTGAACGTGTTTTAAATTACAATCAAATTCAAAATTTGCAAAAAACGTAATTTTTGAAGAAAGCGTTGTGTTTCAATCTGTATAGTTAAATAAATTATTTGAAATTATTATATATTAAATAATTAAGAAACTAATAAAGTTGGCAAGAAAGGTCAAATTTGAAAAATTTGGTTGGCAATGATTTAAATGGGTTTGGCTGTGGGGTTTGGTTATGTGTGGTGTCGGGATTGCCAAACATTGTTATTTTCCTGGATTGTTAGTTTCTTGCGATAACGCAAAACTCATTACGTTTTGCAAAGTCGTCTTAAATTTTACTTTAAATCTTTTCACTCAACAATTACGTTAACAGCTACTATCGGTAAACTTTTACTTGCCAACATGCCAATGCTCGCTTAATACCAATTCGATGCAATTTTATTACGCCAAATAAAAACGGCATCGTCGCGCAATCAGTCGAAATGGCGTCAACACTCAGCGAGATAGTTTTACGTAAAAATTTCGAGAATTTGTGAAAGTAAACTAGTTCTTTATTTTTGTTTGGCGAGTAATTTATTCGGAAATTCTCGAGTCGCTGTAATGTAATTCCATCCCGCACTGTACGAGCGAAATCGATAATCCCCTGGATTTTATCGCGGGTGATGTTGGATTTTTGTTATGTTTCGTATTGTGGCATTTTTTTTTCGCACTCAATAACCTGCTGTGAGCGACCTAAGTACCGCTCCGAGGAAGGGCGTATTCCTCGAAAATATCGGTAGATTTCGTGCCAATCTGTTTCTGCGAGTGTCAAAGTTTCCGATTAGGGTTGTTCTCTTACGCGTACCGTTATGGCCTTTAATGAGAAGGTCGATCCAGAGTTGATATTTACGAAACAAGAGCGCATCGGCAAAGGGTCGTTCGGCGAAGTTTTCAAAGGCATAGACAACCGAACGACCCAGGTGGTTGCCATAAAAATAATCGATCTGGAAGAGGCCGAGGATGAAATCGAAGACATCCAGCAGGAGATCATGGTGCTGTCGCAGTGCGATAGCCCCTACGTCACCAAATATTTCGGGTCGTACCTCAAGGGTACCAAGCTGTGGATTATCATGGAGTATTTGGGTGGAGGGTCTGCTTTAGATTTGATGAAGGCGGGCAACTTGGAGGAAATGCACATAGCAATAATCCTGAGGGAGGTGCTGAAGGGTTTGGACTACTTGCACAGTGAGAGAAAGCTGCATCGCGATATAAAGGCTGCCAACGTGCTGCTGAGCGAGATGGGGGATGTGAAGCTCGCTGATTTCGGGGTGGCAGGACAGCTGACCAATACCACCAGCAAACGCAACACGTTCGTGGGCACTCCGTTTTGGATGGCCCCGGAGGTTATCAAACAGTCTGCCTACGATTCCAAAGCAGATATTTGGTCGTTAGGTATAACCGCGATCGAACTGGCGAAGGGTGAACCGCCAAACTCCGAGCTGCATCCGATGAGGGTACTTTTTTTGATACCGAAAAATAATCCGCCACAGCTCACGGGCAGCTACACCAAGGCCTTTAAGGATTTCGTTGAGGCCTGTTTGAATAAAGATCCGGAAAATAGACCGACCGCAAAGGAACTGGTCAAGTTCCCATTCATAAGGAAAGCCAAGAAAAACTCATATCTAATTGACCTGATAGATCGATACAAAAAATGGAAGTGCACGCGCAGTGAGGAGAGCGAGACGGAGTCGGAAAATTCTGACAATGAGGAACCGAAACACGACGGTGAAGTGGACACAACCGATTGGATAACAACGGTAAAGGAGAGCAACATGAAAATATTCTCGGAAGAGATCAGGGCGTCCAATCAGAAGAACACGAATTACCAGAATGGGTCGGGACCCACCATGCCCGCGACATCGCCCCCCAAAGATTCCAACCTCAATCACTACAGGAAAGAGAAGACGTCATCCTCGCACCCCGTGACGTCCGATAATCACGCGCGGGAAGACAAGGAACGGGAGAAAAGGAAGGCGTCTGCGGCATCGACACGGAACCCGAGTCCCTTGGACCACCGAAGCGACGGCTCCCTGGAGAAATCCAACAGGCGATCGGGACAGGCGCACATATCCAGTTTCGTGTACTCGCTCGTGATGGAACTGCAGCGGAAGCACCACTATAAGAGTCGGAACTCGGACGGCGCGGGAAAACTGAACGACGCTGCCGAAGAATTGAAAAACGCGTTCGAGATGGCGGAACGCGCGAGTCCTGGGGTGGGCAAAATGTTCGTTTGCGAGCTCGTGCAGAGTCTTGTGCCGTCCATAACGGATCAGAGACTCGTCGGCGTGCTGGAAAAAATTACGAGGTATGTGCTCGTTTCGCTGACTTGTTAACTCTCAGTAAATTGTTTTCCACAGCTTATTGTAGATGGTTTTAGTTTTTGACATTTCACAGCGCTCTATGGTAACTGTAGGGTTTAGAAATATGAATATGGTCCTTACTCTACAATACAAATAATACTTATCATGCCTTTTACAAAACTTCTGGATTCCTCCTGCGTCGGTTTTTGCTTAGTCGAAATTACTGACGTTTCGCCAACCATCCTGTTGGCTTCTTCAGATCTTGACTGAAACAGTTTCAGGAGGAATCCAGAAGTTTTGTAAAAAGAACTACAATAGCCTGTGGAATTAAAACTACTTTAATAACACAGGCCAACAATTTTGAAACTTTTGAAATTGAAATCTGATAAGCATTTTCTTCTATCATGTAAGATTTTTTATCAGCATTAAACAATTATTAGTACAGGATCAAAAACCGAATTAAAAAATCCAAATTAAATAACAAAGTCTCAAACAATAGGTAAGTCCACTTATTTTTGGTAGATCTCTCCCTCTTGAGGGAAAAACCTTGTTTAGCGGATTTTCTTGTATATTCAATGGCCAGATTGTCCCTTTTTAATGACTAGCTGTAATCTGCCATCATTGCAAAATTCCATTGACCTGGAACCTGATTTACACAAAGTCTTATTTGAAGGCCTACAAAAATTCCTTCCTCTAATTTCGCGTCTGAAAGAGTGGGAATTTTTTCCACATAGGTATTTAAAACATGCTCTATCTTTATTTAAAGCTTTAATATACTGCTTCATCAGTCCTAATTTAATATGCAACAATGATAAGAGAATTTTGGTAGATCAATAAGACTATCGTGAAGAATAGTTTTTTGATCTGGATTGGTCATTTCTTTTTTATTCAATGTTTCTACTGTCCCTGGATTGGATTTTCTCAAGCAGTACTTCTAGATATTCATAGCATTGTTTCATTGGCACAGGATGAGAAACAAGTACAGAAGTAAGAACATTTCCTTGTACAAAAGAACAGCTTTAAGGCTTCTCTTGGATGAGTCAATAAAAAGCCTCCAGTTCTCAGAATTGTAATCTGAACCAAGTTTCTTCATTAGTTAGGATTATTGGTGCAATAAATAAGTGAACCACTTTCTTGAAAATAATCTATAGATTGTGTCTCACACTTCCCGAAATATGAGATTTTTATGTCTTGTGCCAGTAAATTTTTATACCTCGAAGTCCAGTTGCTAAAATTTCATTAAGATCCTTAGGTAAACCTAAGTCTCTCACAAAATGATTGAATTCCGATTCTGAAAATAGCTGTGGTTGCTGAGAAACATTCCATATATCACAAACATCACGAAGGGTATCTTCAGCTATTTCAGGTTCAGAAAAGCAGGTGGTATCTTCTTCTAAATTGGCTGGATTCTCAGGTATTGGGACATCTGATGTATTATGATCACGAACATTGCACTTGCAGAAATAGCAGTCAGCATAGTGATTTGTTGGCTCTCTCCATATCATGGGTATTCCAAAAGGTAGGGATCGCCTGGTTATATTATTCCAATGTCTTGAACCTTTTCCACAAACCTTACAAAGAATATGTGGCGCCCAAGGTGTGTCTTGATGACCGATTTTCACTTTAAAATAAGCGTAATATTGTTGTTTAAACAGTAATTTTCCTTCTAAATTTCTTGACCACAAAAGAACCTAGCAAAATGTATCTGGAATATTTTTCCTTGCAGTATTTTGACCACATATTTGGACGTCCCAGAAACCATATTTTACTTTCTGGGATTCGACGCTAATAGTCTGTTAATTTATGAAAAATGTATGCCAGTGGAGTGGTAATTTCAATTTTTAGAGTGTTATGTATTGTTCTTATTTTTAAAACAATAAATATGACATCCCAAAAATTAATTCAGAAATGTTTCGTGATAGAAACAAAAAAAAAACATTGTTTTTCTATCAGTTTAGTCCCTATAACTCTAAGGATATAAAAGATACCAAATCACAAAATCTTTGTTGGCCTATGTAATAATGCAAAAAAGGCCGCTGTAAAGTTTAAATAATTTTTTTATCAGTCACAATGACGCAAACATTGACTCTTAATAATAAATGCAAGAGGGAACAGCTCTAAATTTAAGTCCTCTGTCGCCTCTTTTGTATGTATCAATGCAATATTCTTTGGAAAAGGGAACGTGGCAAACTATGAATTTATCATGGGTTTCATCATTAGACATATTGCCAAAGTGGTGGAATGGTAGCATTATTCTAAACATCAACAATTGTAACATTCTTTTTTTTTAACGATGGCTTGCTAGGATAGTCATAACTAGTCATAGTCTCCACAACGATATTCAAAACAAATGAAGAAAAAATCAGAAAAAAGTCAGAGAAACTCGAAAAAACATAGATATAAATCGCTAGCGCACACACCAAACTAAAGAATTGGCGGAATAATTTTTACTGTTGGAAAAGTGACAAATGACACTTAGCGACACTGGTCCGTTATTGTACAGGCAAAACGTATTCCCTTATTACAGCAATAGCTGTAGCCCTTGCTTGTTAGATCAAACTAATAAAAATGAACAGGAATACCAATTTGAGCCAATTATCTACCTGTTATTAACTCCCGATTTTGATAACCTTTCAGATTACCTATTTAGTAGAAGGGGAATTATTACATCCAGCCTCGCGACGCTACCAAACTGCTTTGTTTATTCGATTTAACCAGGACATTATACAAAACGTTCTTCATAATAATAATTGATTTTTCAAAATAAAACAGTTGTTTCGTGTGACAGGGAAGTAATAAAACCTTTAAATATATATAAAAAAAACACTGATTACTCATCTTGACGTCTTGAAGTAAGGACAGTAACAGGGCCACAGGTAACGAAACTACACAGTATTTCACTTCGGGATCGCTCCAATTTGATTAACGCAATAAAGGGAGCAAAAAAAGATGTTAAAGCTCGTATTAAGTGGCAATTTATTGTTCAATCTAGCTTTCGCCCATGACTTCATCAAGACCCTATACAATATGGAGAAAAAACATTCCATCAGAGTTTAACAATCACAATCGAGGGATGACAATAAAGTTAAAATTAAATCATAAATAAACATCTAATTCTAATTCTAAATCTTCATCAAACTCTTAAAAATACTTTATTTCATAAATTTCAATATTTACAAAAAGATGTTACAGAAATTTTACAGATTTCACGTGCTATTTACCCCTATTATAGTATTGGTTTCAGTGATTTAAATTTATTGCTGCCTTTACCGTATTACTCAAATAATTCCCGTATTTCTCCATATTTCTTAAATATTTTAGTCTAGTTTTCTTCTGTGCAGAAACTGATCTGTAATAACTCTCTATTTCTGATATTTTTCTCAATAGCATCCAAATGACTCAGACATAAATTAAGTATACCACGGCGTAACAGTAATATACAAAATATATACCTCATTTATTAAAACATATTACTGTTTTAAAACATAGAAAACGGCATGTTTTTTTTTCCTTATTATTCCTCAATTGGTAAATGCACATACAAATTGTTTATATCTTCGTGATAAGTTTTTTTGGTAACTTAAATCTTGGGTTGCCTCAAAACATTTGTTTTGTGCAATCCCATTTATTTTTTGTTTTTCTCTAAGGAAGAATGAAAGAAACAAGTCTATTTAACGTTTTTTCTCTTTCCGTCTTTTCACTCTCCCTTTCTCACTAATAGATTATAACGATTTTCCGCTTGCGGCTAATGCCATTTTTTTTATTTCAGGTCTGGAGCGACGCAAAAAAGGTACCAGTTTGACTGAACCGAAAAGAAATTGTTGTTGCCCTTCGGAATCAGAAGCGTTCGTGTTTAGAGACTTTTAACAATGTTGTTTATTCTGTAGATAAAGAAGAATATATATGTAATTTACTTGAATTTTAGAATGTCGGCGGAGTTATTTTTTGTAAATGGTTTAACAAAGTCTATTTCCCCCACCTAGCAGCGGTCCAAGTGTTCTACTTTAAAACTTTTCAGAAATTAGACGCTTAGAAAAGTTTTTTCAATCCTAAATCCTTTTTCATTGTTTAAAATGTAAAATACAATACGAATGACTGCTCGGGTGGTTTTGTATATATAAAAAAGTGGTGATTGAGCAGAATCTTACTATTTTGAAAGTATTACCTATCTGTGTTTAAGTTTTTTTTATTAACAGATATATTATAACTACTGTAGATTTAGTGGAGCAGTTTCGGAAGAGTAAAAATTATTTGCGACCCGTTGAAATATTGGTAAAGTAAAATTGCTCAAAAACAAAGTATTAGATTATATTTTTCGAACTCGAAGATCTTTAAACGAGATAACGCGCGTTTAACTACGCCATAATAGATTTTTTTCCTTATCACATACCGCACCGGTTACACCATCGTTGTTTATTGAGTGTATCGCTTGTTTCATTGTTGTTGTTTTTTTTTTAATTTTTCGGTCACAGTGTCGGAACGAAATATTGTTATACTTTCACCCCCGGTAATAGTGAAAATATGTAAAATAAAAAAAAAAAATAGTGTCCGACATTGTAGACCGGAACGCAGAAGATCTTTAAGAACGCGATAAAAAAATGTACAGTTCTAACGTTTAAATTATTAATATCGTGTAATAAAGCGCTGTAACATTGAAAAAATAAATATTAGTTGTCCGGCATAGTTTTAATTAAACTAGTAACATTTTGATTTAGGATAAAATCCCAAGACTGACATCTGGATTTTGGTGTGGATAAAAAAACTAAAGGTTCATAAAAAATGATTAGTTTTTTAAGAAAATGATGCAGCTGTCAGTAACCAGGTTTCATATACCAGGTGGTCCGAAAACTTTTTCATTTTACAATTTTTGATAGATGTTACAATGGTTATATTATATTCATTAATTTAATTTGCATACTTCCAGATGTGGTTCAACATAGACCACCTTCTGTTATCATTACTATTAAAACGGTCTCACGAACGCCACTAGTTTAACAGAGACTAGTTTATCTATCCTATAAGTTAATGAATTTAAGTGGCAACAATACTTACTAATTTCGAAAGCAAATCTAGAAGTTTTTAAAAAATAAGAAAAAACTTCATCATCTCCAAAAATTTTTTATATATATTGATTGATTGATTTGATCTTCCGAGCGTCCTTTCATGGATCCCTCTCTGAGCGTCCAGTATCGTTTTCTTCAAGATCCCTACTTTAACAAGTGAATATTTTTAAGTTTTGTAAACGAGATGGCGTTGGGTTTCCTTAGGCCAGATTTTACGAAGATCATTTTTATGATACTAATATATCGGCGTCCTTTCATAGAGATGACTTGCTAGCGTCCAATATACACGGGAAAACTTTTGGAAAATACTTTCTTACGAACTGTTTTATATTGTTATTTTATTATATTTGTTTTAGGTAGATTTGTTAGTTTTAAAGCTCTTTGCTAAACTTAGTTTCTTTGTGTAGATGTTTTCTTTAATACGTCGCCCGATTGATTAATTTTAATGCAATATGTTTGCCACAAATATTGCACTTGCAATAAAAAGTGAAATCTAAACCATTTTTTTTTACAACTTAATAATTGAAAATGAATACTAATATTAATTTTTCAAAGAATCTTCCACAGGCTACTGTAATACTTTTTACAAAACTTTTGGATTTCCCCTGCGTCGGTTTTTGCTGAGTCGAACTTGTTGACGTTTTGCCAATCATGCTGTTGACTTGTTCAGAGCTTGACTGAAACCGGCTAGCATTTTACTCTGTACCTGCTTATATATTATTTGAGGGGGCTAAGCTAAATGAAGGGCATAAACACCGTGACAGGTAGAGACCTAAGTCGCGTTTAATATTGTTAGATTGTTTGCAAGTTTCTATAGACTCCCGGACTTTTCGTTGGCAGAATTGATTACATGCAAAAATTTTAGTTTTGTTTAGTTTAGTTTAGTGTTCGGCAACAGCTGATAAGTTTATTTGTCTTAGCCGTAACCCTCTTTCGTGTTCTTTGTGCCTAGTTGATATTTTTTGTCCGGTTTCTCCAATGTATTTTTTGGCGCATATGCATGGAATGCTGTAAATTTCTGGTATCTCAAATAGAATTTTATCTTTGACGGACCGAAGATGTCGAGAGATTTTGGACAAGTGGTAAATCTGTTTTTGACGTTATACTTCTTTAGAACTTTTGATATGTGGTCAGTGATATTTTGAATGTAAGGAAGGAGCACAGTGCCAAGTATAGGATTGCTTTCGGCCTCGTTGCTATTGGAAGGTTGTGGTGAAGTGTATTTTTTGATCGAACGCTCAATATCTTTAATGTGGAAATTATTAGAGAGAAGAGCAGAGATAAGGTGTTTTAATTCTGGGTTCAGTGTCTCGGGCTGAGATAGTTTTACGGCTCTGTACACAAGAGAGTTGATAACCGATGATTTTTGGACCGGATGGCGATGTGACCATGCATTAGGGTATCGGTCACTGTGCCTAGGTTTTCTGTAAATACGATGTTCAAAATGTTCAAAAATTTAAAATATCACTGACCACATATCAAAATTTCTAAAGAAGTATAACATTGAAACCAGATTTACCACTTGTCCAAAATCTCTCGACATCTTCGTTTCATCAAAGATAAAATTCCATTTGAGGTTTCCAGGAGTTTAAAGAATACATTGGAGAAACCGGACGAAAAATATCAACTAGGCTCAAAGGAGACGTAAGAGCCTTACGACTAAGACAAATAAACCCATCAGCTGTTGTCGAACACAATCACGAAACCGTACATAAAATTTTATTCTTCTAACAACGAAAAATCCGAGAGTCTATAGAAATCTATAAACAACCTAACAATCTTAACCGCGGCTCTGGTCTTTACCTGTCACCAACATGGGAATCGGTCATCCGAGACGGTGTCGCTCATTTAGTTCCGCCCTCTTCAAACAAATATATAAGCAAGTACAGAGTAAAACGTGAGCCAGTTTCAGTCAAGCTCTGAAGAAGCCAACATGATGATTGGCGAAACCTCAGCGTTCGACTCAGCAAAAACCGACGCAGGAGGAAACCAGTTTTGTAAAAAGAAAATACTAATATTCAAATATTACTTTTTTAAATTGTTTTCTAAGTTCTTGACAGTTGACTTATTTGCAGATCAATAAATTATTGTACCAAATGAAGAAAAACTGTTAATTTGGAAATTAATGTCATTTTCAATTATTTTCTTTTATGAGGATAACTGGGTATCATATTACTTTGTTGTGTGTTTAATGTTGGTCTAAAATGGACCGATGTTAGATATTTGGAATGTTTAGGAGCAATAATTAGAAGTTACTATTTTAGTTTTAATAAACATAAGGATTTTTTAAATCTTTATAAAATTATAAAGAACACAACAGCAATGAGAGCGGCATTCATTATACGTCAAAATTAACATTTTCTTCAGAAGGTTATTAAGAAATCTTCTAGATCTCTTCTGCATCGTTTGTTTATAAACAAAGCTAGCTGACGTTTGGACAATCATCCTGATGGCTTCTTCAGAGCTTAAGTGAAGGTTGCTCACATTCTATTCTGAACCCATTTATATATTGTTTGAAAGAGGCGGAGCTAAAAGAGGGACATGAACATTGTCTCAGATTTCCATATTGGTGAAAGACAGAGTCGCGGTTAAGATTGGTTGTTTAGAGATTTTTATGGATTCTCGGATATTTCCGGGTAGAATTTGATCGAATGAGATTTCGGTTTCATTATTGTTCTCGGCAACTGGTTATGACTTTATTTGTCATAGTCATATATTTTTGGTTCTGTTTCTCTGGTTAGTTTTGACATAGCTCTTTCACATATATTGCAATTCAGGAATCTGGAATCAAACCTATTTAACCGAATTGAAAAATACTTGTCTGGAACATATTTTTTGTAACAGTGAAATTTATGAACAGGACCATCTGCGAGATCTCCAGGATGGTTGGCGAAACGTCAGCAAGGTCGATTTATCAACCACCGACACAGGTAGAATGCAGAATATTTGTATATAGTCTTACATTATTCTGTGAAAGTTTCCATAAAAAAAAATCTTTAGAAATCTTTTGCTAAATAAGTTTGATAAACGCCAGATTAATTTATTTGGCACCAACGGAGGGAGTGCTTAATAAATGAATGACTGACGAAGTTTACAAGGTGTTGCATACTATATGCGTACCTTGACCATCAGAGTTGACAAACCACTGCTCTGGCAAATATATCACCGGAAATATCCGAAGCCGCTCGCAGCCCTAGGTAACGTCTTTAAGCCACACTGTATAATGGGTATTTTAGAGCAGGAATTTGAAAGGGGGATTTTTTTAAATCAATTTGGGAAAAAAATTTAGATGGTATCCAAGGAACTAAAGAGACACTTTTTATTCCGAGGCAAAAGTTTATAGAGAATATGTCGAAAATCACCTAAACAGATACTTTAGTTCAGAGATTTATACACTAGTTATGCACCTTGAGAGTATATTTAGAAAAACATTGTTAGGATTTAAGTTTAGGTACATTAAAAAAAGTAATATATGAAAATATTATTCGGTGGTAGTGGTGACACATTATTGAATATTTCGTAGTTTACTTTTCATCCCTCTCATTCCTTGTTTAACTTTATTTTTATTTATATCTTAGGGCAAAAACATTCAGAAGTAATTGCATAATATTCGCATATAAAAAACCAAAACTTGTTGGTGCCACTTTGTTTAATTAAAACATTATTTTAATAATGTTACTTAATGGAGCTGAAGATTATATAATACAATAATAATTAAATAATCGAAAAATAGCAATTCGTGCAACTAAATAAAAAATATATAATTTTTTTTAAGTGATCGAGGATGGCTCGGTTGGTAAGTCGTTAGACCTGCCAACTCGACTTGCAGCAGAGGTTGTTGGTTCGATTCCCACCTGGAGCCTTGGGTGTTGTTATTGCGTTTGTTGTCCGACTTTAACGACTGACTTCAATCTAGTCAGCCTTCTAAGTAAAGACAGACGCGAGTTCATTGAATTAAGGTAAAAAAAATTTGCAACGGGCGGACAAGTAGTTGAAAAAAGAATAACTTTGTGCAATGAGCGGATTTTCTCAGAACGAAGAGAGCAAGCGAAACAAAAGAGTTTCGCGACGTGTGTCACACAATATTGTTTTAAATTCTAATATCATATAAAGAGTACGGCATTGGCAACAGGATGTAAATATGATTTTTGTAAATTTTGAATTCTTTGCCACACATTTTGAAAATAAACTTTTATTAATTATTTAATTTTTTAAAAGAAAAAAGGTCTTGTGTATTTGTGTTACGTTAACGTTAATTCCAACTTAGCCTACTTCTTAATTCTCTATTTCCACCGTCTCCACATGCTTGAACTATGGAGCGCCAATCGATTTCATTCAATATGAAAAACAAAACAACTAGGTGATGCAGAGCCGTTACCCCACAATTTCGCGCCAGTCTGCAAAAGTTAATAATGACAGTGTTGCCACGTAACAAAGGCTCTTACGTCTCCTTCGAGCTTACATATATATATATATATATATATATATATATATATATATATATATATATATATATATATATATATATATATATATATATTCTCACGTATTGATTCACGGATGGAAAAATGTGATGACACTATACTCCGGGATATCATCCGTTCGCTCGTTGA